CTAGCTTCATCGACAAAAGGCTTGGGCTTCTATTATCTTCACCTATTTACCAAAATTTAATATACAAGGATACTATCTTCTGCTAGTTATTTTGTATACCAACACTTTTGGCTTGTATGTCAAATATATAAAAGAGTTCCCAAAATATAGAGAAGGTTGACCTTTATAAAAACCACCCTGTTGATTCATCTCACTACAGGTTATTACTACTCTTTAGTATAGAAAATAGGCATTTTTTTTGTTGAAAAATTTGGTCCAAGTGATTGTCAGAAAAAGTATATAATTTATTTTAATATTAAAAAATATAAGTTTTATGTAATGATATCTAATAAATAACAAAATATTTATTATTAATAAATAATAAAACTATTTTACTAGATAACTTCTACTTGACAAATTAACAATTAATAAAATCTATAATAATTAATAAAATCTATAACAAATTGATAAAATATTGTTACAAGTAAGGTATTGCTTTCTTAATATACCACCTGCAATATAGTATATAACAACAAAGATTTTTTAAATAACAGAGCAAGATATAAAGTGGTGTGAATGTGAAATATTTTTTTACTAAAGCAGTTTAGTTTATTTATTAAAAATACAAGAATATAGCTAAAATATATTTATTTATTTACAATATAATATTTAGATACAAGACTATTCATAGATATTTATATTTACAAAATTCTAATAACTTAAAAAATTTTTTAATTCAGCAGTCTTGCCAATACTGTTTATTAAATTAACACTAAGATACTTTGATTACAAATATCACATATACAATTACAACTCTCTAATGTATATTATAAATATCAGCTTACCAATAACTAAATTAGTATCTATATATGATCTGCTATATGAGATTTTACCTCCTTAATAACCACCCTGCAACCAGACTAATTACTAAATTACCAGATAGTACTCAAACCTATATTATTATATATATTCTACTTATATACTACTATACAATGTCTACTGACCAACTTCTATCTCTCATCACTTATTATATTACTTCTAATTCAGTTCTTGTATTACTTCCAAATTGGTATTTTTTGAGTAGGTGCTTTTCATGCTTCTAGTTTGGTATCCCTAAAGAAGTTGCTTTAAGGGCCTAGCTATATCTTAAACAGTTACCTGTTGCCAAACTAGAATGTTATTTTGTATTGATTTAGATATTTATATTGTACACCACCAAATTAGGCTACCACTCCTTTTATACTACTGAATTGCTTGCTTCTATACTTTTCAGAGTTTCTTTTAGCCAGTTTTTCCTGTTTCTTTGTATCAGAGATGTTTTATATTTGGTAAAGCTATTCTCTTACTACAGCTCCTTACTATATTCACTGCTTTTCTCACCACTTCTGGATATACTATATACAGCTATCCTTCCAATCAAGATCCCAATGCCATCTTAGGGTTGTTGGTGCTACCTTGCTAATCATGAATTTATATACATAGCCTTCTGCAGTAAACTTTCTGTAACCTATGTCATATACAGTGTCTAGTTTTCTTTATAGCTCAGGGCTTCTTCTAAGAATTTTTTATAGGCCAAATATATATATCATATGGTTTTACTGTTACAGAGTTTCATATTCAAAAGCTTCTGAAGGTTACATTAATTAATAATTCTCTAGTCAATTGAAGAATAAATATAGTATAACATGACTCAGTTTACTATATAAGTCTAATATAGACTAAATATAAAATTGCTCCAAGATAAATCTTTTTTTTTGTACTAAGTTAATTGATCTTGTCAATTAATTGAAAGTTGTAGAGCTTATCTTTGCAGGTTTAATGGTAATTAAAGCATCAAAATTGGCCAGGTGGGTGCCAAGATATCTTTAAAAAACATTTCTTTTACTATATAACTTCTTTGCAAACAATAGTATTATTTGCAAAAAAGTTTATATAGTAAAAGAAATGGGTTTTAAAGATATCTTGGCACTCACCAGGCCAATTTTGATGCTTTAATTATCATTAAACCTGCAAAGATAAGCTCTACAACTTTCAATTAATTGACAAGATCAATTAACTTAGTACAAAAAAAAGTTTACTTTGAAGCAATTTTAGGTTCAGTCTATATTAAACTTATATAGTAAACTGAGTTATATTATACTATGTTTATTCTTCAGTTAACTAGAAAATCATCAATTAAATTAATTACCACCAGCTAAAATTGAACCATTAACCTCATTTGTAGAGAGTTAGACATCTAGACTACTAGGCTACAAGACCCTAACCTAATAACTTAAAATATTGCAAAAAATAAAATTTAAAGCTAGAAAAGAAAAAAAGTTAAAATTTATATATCTTTACAAATACTAAAAAAATACTATTGTTATATTAGATTCAGAAGTATAATTTATAATGTGCTATTATCTGTCTTTGATAGCTTACTCCTTTGATAGCTAAAGAAATACAAAGTATAAGCAGTATATATATTAAAGTAGAAGAGCTTATATATATTTTAAAACTAAGGAGGATCTAATACAAGCCCAAAGATCAAACCTCTATTATTACAATACTAGGTTGGAGTAAAAGTTGCCAGCTAGAGACTGTGAAAATAAAAGTTTTATTAGCAACTAATATAGTAAAGATAGCAAAACATTATAGCAAGACCAAAGCAAATACTCATTCAAAAGCAAGAAGATATAAATTAAAAGCAATAGTAATATCTGTTAACTCAAGTTACATAGTAAATTTATATATTTTTTAAAAAATTTTATTTATAGACAGTATTTTGATCTATCTTAAGAGGATATGTCTTAGATCTGATATAAAAAGTTTCAATTATAAGGGAGAAAAAGAAAAAACAGATTTTTTAGCAAATAAACCAAAAAAAGCCAAAATTAACAAACTAGCCACTCTCAAGTATATAAGTAATGCAGCAAAACTAAATAAGCAAAATACACCTTTATCTAAAAGTAGTTGAAATAAAAGAAATATTAATAACAACTATAGAAAAAGTTTTAAACAATCAAAAGAAAACTATAAAACAACAAGTCTACTAATAATAAAAGAGTTTAAAAGCCAAAAAAGCTATATTTTAAAGCAAAAAAAAAATAGTTAAAATATAATCCTTAAACAAATCCTCCAAAGACTTGATATAATAGAAAGAAGACAATATAGTCTAAGAGCTTAAAATCACTCCTAAATCTGCTATGAATATTTATATAGAAGAAAGGGTTTAGGAAAAAAGTATTTCTGGACCTGCTTAAAACTAGTAGAACCCAGATAGAAGAGATTTGAAGGTGGCAATGCATAATATTAATAAGCTGAATTCATGTAGTTATTAGTTATATTTGGTTTTAATATAAGCTATATAAGAAAGACTAGATTTGATTAAGTTAACAGAAACCAATATACAAAAACATAACGAAAATTTTTTGATAAAAGATAGAAACAATTTTAGAAGAATTTGGGCTAGTACAAATGTAAATAAAATAAAGTAATCAGGTGTAGGCTTACTTGTTAGTAAAAAAAAAAATAGACAAATATATAGAAAAAATAAAAAAACTAAATAAGTTCTTATTGGAGGTTATTTTTTATTTACCAAATAACATAGTGATCTTAATTTTAGTAATGTATTTTCCTCCAAGCAATAAGAAGATAGCATACGGATATTCAATTTGATTGGCTTGAAGATCACTGGGTTACACAATATAAAAAAAAATTTAAAGTAACTCTTACTATAAAAAGTCATATTGTCAATTGACAACTCATAGTTTAATATAATAAGTTTTTTTTAGAACATATTAAAGTGTTCTTTGACTCTTCATATGTTTTTTGAGAAAAAAAATCAGTATAGATCATTATTTCTAAAAACTTTACTTAGGAGACAAATTTAGACAAGTACGTAATACAGTATTACAGTATGCAACAAATAAGTTAATTGGGCATTAAACTTTTTTTTTGCTTCCAACCTTTTCTATTGACTCAAGCAACTAACAACATGGTAACAAAATATCCATGCTTTTTTGTTCATAGCGCATTATAAAAAAAAAGGTTTACCAGTAAGTTGAATAAATCTTAATTGATTAACAATACAACAAAATATCTGTGCTTTATTCAGTGATCAAAAGAATATACAAACAAATACACAAATAGATGCTTGTTTAAAATAAGTTATTATTAAAGTGTAATAATTTTATTTATTCTTATTAATATTTTAGATTATAAATATGAAGGTGATTTTGCAATTGCAATTAATAGAATAACCAAAAGCCCAAAAGATAATAACTACAGAATAGTTATAGAGTACACAAAGCAAGGAAGTCTTAGAAAATTGTTAGACAGTAAATATAGTAAATTTGATTGGGCTTCTAAAGCAGCAACCTTATATTACATAGCTAATAGGCTTAATACAATTCACAAAGCCCATAAAGATTTTCATTCTGGCAATATAGTTCTTATATTACCTGTTACTGATTTGATTTATTTTAATAAATTTAGCATTCAAAAAACATCTTAATCCATCAAAGGCAACTAAAAATTACAGATTTTGAACTATCAAGGCAGATTAATGAAATGTTTAAGACTTCAAACTTAATTGTTTATGGAATGCCGGCATATATCGAATATTTTGGTTTATACTTCAGATACAAACAGAACAGATATTTATTCTTTCAGAATAATTATGTCTGAAGTTCTTACTGGATATTCTTCATATTATGATATTCCACACAGTGGAGATTAGCAACAGGTATTTGTCTTGGTTATAGGCCCAAAATTAGATACAAAGCTCCTCAATTACTTTTGGATCTGATGAATAAATACTTAGACACAGAACCTCAAAACCAACCAACTGCTAGAAAATTAGCTAATATATTAAATAGTTTTTTTTTTAGATTTAAAAGATGAAAAAACCGAATTATATAAGCAAGTTAAAATATTAAAAACCTTGACAAAAATTTCTTAACATATAATCAAATCAAATCGATATAGTTTAAATATCAGACGCATCCATAAGCTATTTGCGGAAGCTGAAGTGGTGAGTATTAGGTATAGTATTTAAATAAAATTGGAGTTGAACTGAATGCTGATAAAAGTGATACTGATGGAACATACCATGATCCCTCGGTCTCTTTCCCTGTAGCCACTATTTTATCCTCTTCTCTTTTAGCCTTCTTGATTTCTCTTTTCAACTAGTGCAACATACCCTTTTGGTTTAACTCTCTTAATCTGATCTACTTTATTCTCTCTCTCTCTTCTATCTTATCTTGGTCTTCTGCCTTTCACCTAATTGAGCATCTTCATATTTTGGGTTTGGCCTTATAGACATCATTACAAATATGAAATTGATATTGAAAAGGACAAAGTATTTGGATAGTATTCAGAAGTTTTTCGCATTGTCGGCTTAAAAGAATTAATACCAGATGCCGAACCTTAACTTGAGTATGTTGACAAAAGAAATATTACTGTTTATCAGTATGAACAAAATATTTTAGAAGAAGTTTATCCGATTTTGTTTCAGTTTCTCAAAGATTTAGACTTACTAATTAAAAATCTTAAAAAACTTTAATATAATATTGCAAATGGAGAGGTGTGGCGACTTAGTGAAGTGGTCTAGTTGTCACCCTCGCCAAACGTTATGGGAAGATCCCATATTCGAATCCCAGGGACGGCGCTTTTGTAATATGGGAAAAGTTTTGCAACGATCTTTACTAAGGTTGGCCCATAGAGGATCTGTTGAGACGGTGTCTGGGTGGCACCGTTGAGGTAATTCCGGAAGGCTGTAATCTGTG